GTGTGTGTGTGTGTGTGCGTGTGTGTGCAGCTATGAGTTGGCACGTTTCACCTCTTCTTTCCTCCTCACATCAGTATTCTAAAAGTGGTAGAAACATGGTCAGAGTTGCAGTCCATCACTTCCTGACGTTGTTAAGGCTGCAGCCAGTGTTGCGCCGTTGCTCCCCTGATACTGCAGATTCCAGTCTCCAGTGTTTTCACCTGACTCTGACTTTGCCGTGAGGAAACAGATGTGAAACGCCCGTGATGTGAGGCTGTGGAGACCTTCAGCTAAACTCGAAGTAGCCCACTGTTTCTGCTGGTTCTGTATGTTTTGTGCACACGTGCGTGCGTGCCCCATCTGTTACCCAATTTGACATAATCGCTACCTCCCCCTCCTCCAACTTTCCACCAGGTGTGCTGCTGCTGTCCGGGGCGCTGGCAGAGCAGGAGGGGGAGAACCTGTCGGGTCTCTCCAACAACCCGGACAAAGCCATCTTCGCGGTGCGGGAGAACGGCACGACATGTCTGATGGTGGAGTTCGCCGTGAAATTCCTCGTGCCATATGACGTGCTCGCACTCAATGGGATAGACGTAAGGAATCCCACCGCGCATTTTAATACATCACACGTGGATGGTTAAACAAAATTAAACGCAGACGTTGAATCAAGGATAAAATATGCGTAAAATATTGCAGGTGTTAAAGGTTTCTGTGCGTAATGGTGGCTGAAGTTATGGAAAATGTCATGAAATCTAAATATTCTACACTTCATTTTATACTGACTAATTTGCTAATTAGTGAAGGGGAATGTATATCGATTACATTAGAACTGGATTTTGGATGCTGCTTGTAGTGTGCAGTCGTGCGAAAAATGCTGACGACGCATCAGATCCAATCAACAAGAAAATATTTTTTTAATTAATGAGACGATTATGGAAGATTTAAAAGCTGTTTATTTTTGTAAGAACACGTCATTCAAATAGTCTGGTATGTTTTTTGTTTGTGTATATTTCTTGTTCCCCAATAAGTTTGTTCGTAAAAATGGAAGCCAAATGCTAAAAACTCCTTCCAGAGACGTTTCACTAATCTATCCCTGTCCGTCAATGTTTTGCACGTTTGTTCTGTTTCCCTGCAGCTGATCACCGAGCAGGCGTCGTTCACTCTGCCCCGTGGTGCAGAAATCGAGGGGATATGCGGGAGCACCGAGTCAGAGATCCACATAACCTGGAAGAACAACGCCTACACTCTCCGGATCTACTTCTCTAAGGTGTGCAAGGAAAGACAGAGGAAACCGACACAATGCTTTTTATGGCTGATGCAATACAAAAAGTCGGAATCATCTAATGGAAAGATTAAGACACCAACATGTTAAAATTCATCTTAAATGTCGGTTTTAGCAAATTGTACGTTTTTCAAGCGGAATGATGTTTTTTTACAGTGATATTTATATTCAGATATTTGAGTTTTTTTCTTTTCAAGTTTCAATAAATGGAAGTCTATTGGCTTTTTGCTGAGTGTGGGCACCCGCTCTCTCCATGCGGTGGAAAAGCCCGGTTTGACACGTGTGTGTTGCAGGAGTTCCGTGACAAGGGCGCTGAGGTGTGGAAGATTAGCAAGGTCCAGTTCGTCTATGACACCTCGGAGTCATCGCATTTCATCAACGCATACAACCGTGAGTCTCCCGCCGAGTACAGTAGCAACTCAGCACATTTCCATCCTGCCTGCTTTGAACGCAACTACAGCTCTCATTCACCTCACATTAGCATTCAGATGGAATTACAGAATGATTCATGCAAGGCTTTAAGATTTTCGCCCACGTACACAATCCAGTTTTGATTTTCAAGCCAAATTATTATTGATTTCAAATTTGTAACCTTCCCCTTTTTATAATAACTTACACGAATGTTATCATATTTCCTACTATATTCATGCATTTTATAATAAGAAATCAAAACGGATGCATACATTTGCCTCCTGTCAGACACTACAACAAACACATCTCTCATAAATTTATAATCACTTTATGGACTACTGGCAATATTTTGTTTATTTTTTGTATAGTTTTTTTTAGTCTTTTTGCTTTAATGATCAATCCAAGCAATGATCCATCCAAGCAATGATCCATCCAACTGACACTGAAAATCATGACAAATTATTATTGAATCTAGTTTTCATGCTTAATGAATGGGGGGCTAACACACAACCCTTAAACACTACACTACAACATAACTTCCTGCTTACTTCATATTCTTTAATGACTCTGTTCTCCAGCTGGGAAGCACACAGCTAGCACCCACCACCTGTCGGCCCTGGTGACCCCCGCTGAGCACTCCTTTGTGTGCGCGGCACAGCAGACCATCACCCTAATCTCCAGTGACCACCAGAAGGGTGTCACCGTCTCCATGTACGACATCCAGATCCAGCCCTTTGACATCGCCTCTGACTTCATATTCAGTGAACGTAAGAACAACCTAGATATGATTCCTTCCTTGAGCAACACAGCCACGAGGAACAAGTCAACCTTCACCACTCACGGATTCTGTTTTCTAGTCACATATCATGAAGAAACAGATGATGAGACGATCATGAAACACAGAGGTTGCTGTGCTGTGGCCTTACATCTCTGCACTGACACACACACACTTACTGACACAAACACACACACACACACACAGCTCTCTGGGGGGTTATTGCTGCAGTGTGAGTAGTACTTTGGGCTGCAGAGAGGAAGACTGGGTAAAAAGAGAAAAGAGGGGGTGGGGATGCAAGAGAGACAAAAGAGACAAAAAGAGAGAGAGAGAGAGTCATTAGGACTTTATGAGTACAGTCATATCCTTGCCCTCAATGCAGCTTTTATAGACATACTCAGTGAACCTGACCGTCCTCTGAAGCCAATCACCTTGGAAGAATTATTTGCTCTGAACTGCTGTAAACTAGGCTGTGCTGCAATGCCGTTCTCCTATAGTGGGCATATACTGCTGTCCACAGGGAGAAGCAACATCACCTCTCATCTGCCGCCACATGTTCTGATGTCCTTCCTCCTTACAAACACAGAAGATATGTCCAAGCTAACATGAATTTAGCGGAGCTGATGCACAAAAGGCATCCAGTAGTATAACTGAATGAGAGAGAAAGGAAGCATCTGTTTGAAACTTGTGTCATTTAGCAAATGAATCCCTTGGGAGCAGACACACATGGACGCCGCCTCCATTATCCACTCACAAATTACACACAGCCATGCAACACACTCACACACACAAGCTGCATGCTGCATGTACAGTATGCATACCTCTAACAGCTGTTGCCCAACTAAGGGGGTGAAACCATAGCCTCCTTGGCAGAGGTAATGATAAATATCATAACATTAAATAAATCCTTTACACTTAATGTAGCTTCATGTCATGAATAAATGGTAACTATTTCAGTGAATTTATAGAAATTACGTTACATGTAAAGTTTAGATCAATACAAAATGGGACAAATAACCTACAAAAATTATTAAAATTCAAGGAAATCAATTATTGGCAGTTTAATCAATAATGAATCTTAATGTTACTTGCAGCCAGAATTGAAGCCTGACTGTGTCTTTCACTCTATGCAGCCTACAAGTGTATCACCGACCAGCGGGAGCGCCTGGAAGAGACCCTCCCCATCGTCCTGGGTCTCATTTTGGCTCTCATCATTGTCATCACGCTCACCGTCTACCACTTCCACCTAAAGCTGACAGCACCCCAACCTCAGCTCCCCAGAGATCGCTCCATGTACAAGAACATGTAGTCAGCAGCAGCGGCTCCCCCGGCTCTCTCCAAAGCTACCCTGATAAAAGACTTGTATCCTCCATGTCCCAGGCCTAACACCAGAGGAAAGTGGTCGGCCATAGACTGATCCCCTGATAAGAAGAAATGTGTGTAGCCTGCACTGCAGGCCCACTGGAACTTTCCAGCAGCTAAAACACAGGTGAACGGGACAGCTTGGGGCCTAGCATGGATGTAGTTGGAGGGTCAACCCACAAAAATCAAACACCTGGCTGCTGAAGTGAATCTTTGTGCCATAAATTCATAGTTTGTATCACAGTGGTTAGAATTTTAATGAAAATAAAAACATTAATTTACGCCTTTAAGAAACTAAAATAGATTTTTGTTCAGATTGGTGTTTGTATGACATTTGAAAATCACCTCTTTCTTTCCTGACATCACTGAGGCCTACTTCATCACTTCAGACATTTTTATCCAATTGTCTTCAGAAGAGATTTTAGATATTTGCCTGAGTGTCTGCTGTTTGTCATCCTCTCCTCTCTGAAACTGCTGCTACTTAATTAATTACCTACTGTTGGTTCTGTATTTGCTAACCTCAACACAATTTTGTTCAAGAATCCCTTTTTATTTCAGTTTTGAATGCAGCCATAGTGTTGACAGTGGACAAGTCTTGTAGTGTGTACAGTGCTGTGGCATTAAGAGTTGCAATGTTTTTGCTTTGACTTAAATATCTTTTCTCCACGCTGATGTATGAAACATA